CACATATAATTACTCTGCAAGAATAGTGAGTTAAATAAATTTATAAACCTAAAAGATAATTTTGGCATCTGAAAGATTCTCACGGAAAATAAAGCGAGCTATTTTTAACTAATATTCCTTACTTCTGAGGTGAGTTTGAATTCTTCAAAAATATTGTTCAAATACGCATTTTTTCTTCTCATTAAATATTACGGACAAATGTGATTACATTAAGTGGTAAATACGATAAAACGGAACAGAAACATACAAAATAAGATGAAATTTTTAAAAGCATACATTAGTACTCTTCCAAAATCTTGGTGTAAAAATAATTAAAGGAAGTCATATCCAACCGACTTCATCAAGATGGATAAATATCTAATCTTCGAAATTTTCCATCACATATAATTAATATGCAACAATTACTGAATTCAGCTAATTAAGAGCTGCAAAAGGCATTTACAGAGTGTGAACTATTCACATAGCATTTTCTAGATGTTTCAGAAAACATCAATGCCACATAAAGCAAAACCACCGAAATAAGGTATGACAAAATATATTCGACTGAAACCTACCAACGAAGGAAACTAATTCCTAATATAATTTAACCTATTTTCTTCCTAAAAGCCTCAGAAATATTAGTGGTGGTAATAATTCTCATCACATCTAAATCAAGAGTAGCAAATCAACACATCATGGGCTTAAAATTTTTATATGTGAATTCTTTGCTACTGAAAACAGTAGAATTTAAAATTTACAGGCAACCAGCAGTAAAAAGAAACGAAACACACTTCTGTATACGTGAGTTAAATAATCCTATAAATCTAAAAGATAACTTTGGCATCTGAGAGATTTGATTCGCATAGAGAATAAAAAGAGCTACTTTTAACTAATATTACTTTTGAGGCGAGTGTGAACTCTTCGCAAATATGTTCAAATATGCAAATAGGTCTATGAAAATATATGTGCATTACACCTCAGTTGGAGCGAAGACAATAAGAAAACAAGTCAGCATATTTTCAGCTTAACTATTATGTCATCATAGGAAATGCACAAATATATCATTCATGTACAGGGGATTTTTATAAACATAACAAGGTTCATATAAAACATACAGTAGTCTAAAAAAAGAGGAAGAAATACTTATTTAAAAAAAAAAAAAACACAAAGCTACATTGAACTAAAAGATATATCCTATAACTGCAACAAATTATTTAGACCATAGGACCAGTCTTATATAATTAGTCACTGAATCAATTCGTGAAAATTTTATGGTTTTCATAATACTACAGAAAAATCAATATTAATTACGTACTATATGTCTTAAGAGCTTAAGTTAAATAATCTTGCCATAAAAGATTCAGACATATGCTTGTTAATCTTCATTAGCTACACAGCATTCTATACTTCTGCGAGGAAGGAAAATACAACTCGGCTAGAATTAACATAACGAGGTTTTTAAATTAAAGATGATACATTTAATTGCTTCTCAGAATAAGAACATCTTCACCAGAGAACTCAGTAGCAGAACTGACTCATGTCAATCATCATGAAAGCACACATAAAGGTAATTACAATCATAAATTAAAAGAAATTATTACCACACAGAATATACAATGGGAAAATCATGAAAACTATCTATGTACTAAGCAACTCAAAACTATTGCGCTAATTGGTCTTATTCAAACTAAACAGCAGGTTTAAATCATAAAACCTCATGAAAAAAAATGAAATGAAAGACAGCTCAGCTAAATATAATCTTTAGTTTAGATCAGGTGAAGAAATTCTAAAACATCATTGCCATGTATTTAAAATTAGCAAAATTTATTAAAACATTTATATGCTATAATAGTGTAGCCAAGAAGCTTAGGATTTTAATATTATAAACAAAAAGTAAGTAAATATTTAGTATCTAACTTTTTAGATTATGTTGCTTATACTTATGTGATAAAATGAGTTTAGTACAATAAACAGCTTTATATATGAAGGAACAAACCAGAAGGATAAGGGTTCAATCACTTAAAACATCACCAAAAGGAATCTTCTTGAGTTTTCATATGATAATCTAAATTTATACCTCGATGTTTTTCTTCCGATTAAATGTTCTTTTCTTCTCGATGTATGCGATACACTACTTAATTTTTGGACACATTTAAGAGGCACGTTTATGTATTTAAATACCAAGCTTAATATCTTGAAGATTACAATATGGTTTGGCTGCTTCAGGTTTTTATAAGGAAAGACTTTTGCTTTCTCCCCCCCCAAAAAAACACAATCATAAACCTTCAAACACTATGGGGGGGGGCAGTTAAATTAAAAACTCTACCATAATTACAAAATGTCTCCCACAAAATTAAAGAGCTTAATCAACTCACAATCATAAAAGCAAGAATACTGACCTAAGGAATAGTATCAGTACATGAATAATTAAAAAATTTTACACTAGACCTGAAATTTTAGTACTGCAACAGGAATTTACAAAATATAAACGATCAATAAGCCATTTTCTAGAAGCTTAGAAAATATCAGTGGCACATAAAGGAAAACACACAAATAATGTTGAAACGATACAGTGAATGGCCAAAATAAGGAACCCTTGTGAAATGCATGTTTTGAAAAGAAAGATTGATTTTAATGAAATATGTAGGTGGCGCTGGCGTTTTTGATACTGACGCCACCTATACAACTTCGTCAATGTGCTAAACAGTTAGTTGTTTGTCGGAGTACGTTATGTGAGGTGTCATTGCATTATTGCCAGAGTTAACAGACTTCGAATGAGGGCAAATTGTTGGAGCTGTATGGTAGGTGCTTCTGTAAGCAAGGTAATGAGGTGTTAGTGTTTCAAGAGGTACTGTACCGAAGATTTATTCCGCATATTTGAAAAGCGGAAACATCACATCTGCTAAATCACAGCGCGGACGAAAGTGTGTGACCTGAGTGATCATTGACAGATGATCATTAAGGGCAATTGTGATGAAAAATAAGAAGACCACAGCTGCAAAAGTTACTGCTGAAATGAATGTTGTGTTACGAACCCTGCGAGTACCAAAACAATTAGAAGGGAGCTTCATAAACAGAGAATTGCTGGCCGCCGTGCTGCAATTGAGGAGCACTCATCAGTGATGCTAATGCCCGTAACAGGAAAGGTGGTGTTTAAGACATAAAACCTGGACTATAGAGCAGTGGAAGCGAGTAATATGGTCTGACGAGTCTTCTTTCACGTTGTTTCCCACTTCTGGACGAGTTTACGTTTGGAGAACGCCATCTCAAGCCTATTATAAAGACTGCTTGTTGCCAAGAATGAAACATGGCGGGGGTTCTGTTATGGTTTGGGCAGCCATATCATGGTTCTCTGCTAGCCCCATGATAACTGTGTCAGGGCACACGACTGCCAAGACTTATGTGAACATTTTGGCCGATCAAGTTCATCCCACGGTACAAATTTTGTTCCCCGATGGTGATGGTGTCTTCCAAGGCGAAAAAGCTCCTGTTCACACAGCTCACATTGTCCAGGACTGGTTTTCTGAACACAAGGATGAGTTGTTAAAATCCCCTGGCCACCACAGTCACCAGACCTGAATATTATCGAACCTTTGTGGTCTACATTGGAACGGAAAGTGCGTTCTCGTTATCCACCACCAACATCGCTATCTGAACTTGCCACCGTTTCGCAGGAAGAATGGTATAATATTCCCTTGGCAAACATAGAAGAACTGTATTTATCCATTCCGAGAAGACTGCAAGCTGTTTTGGATGCCAACGGGTTTCGTACACCATATTAAGCAAAGAAACATGTTTTTTTTAAGGTGTTTCCATATTTTTGTCCAACACCTGTATATTCGATTGAAACCTACCCATGAAGGAAACGATTTCCTAACATAATTTAACACATTTCCTTTTTAAAAGCCTCAGAAATATTAGTGGTGGTAAAATTCTCATCACATTAAATCAAGAGTATCAAATCAACAATCATGGCTTAAAATTTTTATATGTGAATTCTTTGCTACTGAAAAAGTCGAATTTAAATTTACAGGCAACCATCAGTAAAAAAACGAAACACACTCTGTATACGTGAGTTAAATATCCTATAAATCTAAAAAGATAACTTTGGCATCTGATAGATTTGATTCGCATAGAGAATAAAAAGAGCACTTTAACTAATATTACTTTTGAGGCGAGTGTGAACTCTTCGCAATATTGTTCAAAATATGCAAATAGGTCTATGAAAATATATGTGCATTACCCTCATTAGGAGCGAAAGACAATAAGAAAACAAGTCAGCATTTTTTTCAGCTGAAACTATTTATGTCATCATAGGAAATGCACAAATATATCATTATGTACGGGGATTTTATAACATAACAAGGTTCATATAAAACATACAGTAGTCTAAAAAAAGAGGAAGAAATACTAAGAATTTAAAAAAAAAAAAAAAAAAAAAAAAAAAAAAAAAAAAAAACCCACAAAGCTACGTGAAATAAAAGATAATCATGCAACTGTAACAAATTATTTAGACCACAGGACAGTCTAAGATAAATTAGTCACTGAATCAATTCATGAAATTTTACGGTTTCATTTATACTACAGAAAAATTAATAGTATTATGTACTATATGCTTAAGGCTTCAGTTAAATAATCTCGCCATAAAAGATTCAGACATATGCTTGTAATTATCATTAGCTACCCAGAATTCATACTCCAGCAAGAGAGAAAATACAACTCATGGCTAGAATTAACATAATGCGGTTTTTTCAAATTAAAAATGATAATTTAATTGCTCTCAATAAACAACATCTTCACCAGAGAACTCAGTAGCAGAACTGAATCATGTCAATCATCATGAAAGCAAACTAAAGATAATTACAATCATAAATTAAAAGAATTACCACACAGAATATACAATGGGAAAATCATGAAACTATATGACTAAGCAAAACTCAAACTATTTGCGCGAATTGGTCTTATTCAACTAACAGCAGGTTTTAAATCTCATAAAACCACTCATGGAAAAAAATGAAAAGACAGCTCAGAAAATTATACTCTTCAGTTTTTACATCAGGTGAAGAATTCTAAAACATCATTGCCATGTATTTAAAATTAGCAAAATTTATTAAAACATTTATATGCTATTAATTATCCCAAGAAGCTTAGGATTTTAAATATTATAAAAAAAGTAACTAAATATTTAGTATCTCACTTTTAGATTAATGTTTGCTTATAATACTTAGGTGATAAAATGAGTTTAGTACTATAAACAAGCTTTATATTGAAAAAGAACAAAACCAGAAGGATAAGGTTCAATCACTTAAAACATCACAAAAGGAATCTTCTTGAGTTTCATAATGACAATCTAAATTTATACCTCGATGTTTCTTCCAATTAAATGTTCTTCTTCTCGATGTATGCGATACGCTACTTAAATTTTTGGACACATTTAATGAGGCACGTTTATGTACTAAAAATACGAAGCTTAATATCTCTGAACATATACAATATGGTTTGGCTGCTTCAGGTTTCATAAGGAACAAGTTTTGCCTTCCCCCCAGAAAAACACACAATCATAAACCTTCGAACACTATGGGGGGCAGTTAAATTAAAAACTCTAATTACAAAATATCTCCCACAAAATTAAAGAGCTTAATCAACTCACAATCATAAAAGCAAGAATACTGAACTAAGGAACAGTATCAGTACATGAATAATTAAAAAATTTTACATTATACCTGAAAATTTTAGTACTGCAACAGCCATTTACAAAATATAAACGATCAATATGCCATTTTCTAAAAGCTTTAGAAAATATCAGTGGCACATAAATGAAACACACCAAAATAATGTATGAAAAGATATATTCGACTGAAACCTACCCATGAAGAAAACGATTTGCTAATGTAATTTAACACATTTTCTTTTTAAAAGCCTCAGAAATATTAGTGGTGGTAATAATTCTCATCACATCTAAATCAAGAGTAGCAAATCAACACATCATGGGCTTAAAATTTTTTAAATGTGAATTCTTTGCTACTGAAAACAGTAGAATTTAAAATTTACAGGCAACCAGCAATAAAAAGAAACGGAACACACTTCTGTATACGTGAATTAAATAATTCTATAAATCTAAAAGAAACTTTGGCATCTGAGAGATTTGATTCGCATGGAGAATAAAAAGAGCTACTTTTAACTAATATTACTTTTGAGGCGAGTGTGAACTCTTTGCAAATATTGTTCAAATATGCAATAGGTCTATGAAAATATATGTGCATTACACCTCAGTTAGGAGCGAAAGACAAATAGAAACAAGTCAGCATTATTTCAGCTGAACATTATGTCATCATAGGAAATGCACAAATATATCATTCATGTACAGGGGATTTTTATAAACATAACTAGGTTCATATAAAACATACAGTAGTCTAAAAAAAGAGGAAGAAATACTAAGAATTAAAAAAAAAAAAAAAAAAAAACCACAAAGCTACGTTGAACTAAAAGATATATCATGCAACTGTAACAAATTATTTAGACCACAGGACCAGTCTAAGATAAATTAGTCACTGAATCAATTCATGAAAATTTTACGGTTATCATTATACTACAGAAAAATTAATATTAGTTATGTACTATATGTCTTAAGAGCTTCAGTTAAATAATCTCGCCATAAAAGATTCAACATATGCTTGTAAATCATCATTAGCTACCCAGAATTCTATACTCCAGCAAAGAAAGAAAGAAAATACAACTCATGGCTAGAATTAACATAATGCGGTTTTCAAATTAAAAATGATACATTTAATTGCTTCTCAGAATAACAACATCTTCACTAGAGAACTCCAGTAGCAGAACTGACTCATGTCAAATCATCATGAAAGCAAACATAAAGGTAATTATAAAAAATAAATCATAAAAACACAGAATTTTATCTTGCGCATTTAGCATAAAAGTAGCATTTCTCTAAATAAAATGGTGTAAAAAGAAAAAAAACTTTACTGAAACTTTTCCTAAAACCCTCCAGAAAAGTACATTTTTAGCACCCTTATATAGAACTTTTCTGTTTATAAATAATAAAAGAATTTTTTTGGGGGGGAAGAGAAAAAAAATCTGTATTGCTGATATTTATAATCTTAAAACTCACAAATACTGTACTGCAAAATGATAGTTAAATACGCAGCACATAAACATACAAGTATTCAACGACAGGTTTGCAGTCTTGCAAATTGAGTACTTTGCATAAACTACGAAACATACCCAAAACTCGACAGGGATAACAAGAAAGTACAGTTCTTCCATTATATATATTGAGATTGCATACATGAAATCTACAGAAACAACTCTTGGTGTAAAAATAATCAGAGGAAGTTATATCGAACTGATTTCATTAATATACATAGATTTAGTCTCATTTTTGGTACAAAATGAAAACGCATGATTATTTTGAAACAAAGATCATGCTGAAATGTAATCTTTCAATAGCGTTTTCATTCATATTCAGTAGAAAGAATACATGGACAACACAGGCATGAAATTCTGGATAAGAGATGTTTGGCAAAAGTGTTAGCATAAATTTAGGTATTTTGCATAATGAAACTCGAAAGGCATACGAAACGAACGTGCGCCAAGGTATATATTGGCGAGAGAAAGTAAAGCTCGGGTGCAATGCAGAATATTTGATTTTCACCCTAGCTACTTGTACCTGGCCAAAGGTCTAATCCAGTAGTACTTTCTTCTCTTTCAGGTATGATGGCAAAGCATATTCCTGTTTATTTTTTCTTATTGCATAATATAGGTAAGCCTGGTGATATTTAGTACTGATGATGATTCTCTGTAAGTTATTCTTTTGAATACTTCAGTGTTTTAATGTCCTTGAACATTATTACATTTTGTTGTGCTTAAGTGAAGCAAAATTATCCTATTTTATTAAATAAATATTTCGTAGTTAATTTTTGACTTATGATTCTTTAATTCTGTGCTTGAGGAAACGTACTCATTACGCCTTTAGTGCTAATGCACAACCAACAAAAGATTATGAGACTGAGAAATTAAAATTTTGTAATGTTGTAAGATTCCAGGGGCATAAAGTGTTAAAACTCTTTGTTGAAAATACTAGTTACAAAGTTTATAGGAATAATTGTAACAAGTAATAATGTCTATTCTAAAAGAATCAATTTAGGTAGAAAAATTAACAGATGAAAATTATTCAGTGTGGAAATTTAAAATAAAACAACTTCTAATAAAAGAAGGTTTAGATGATGTTGTATTCGAAGAAAAACCGGAAACTGATACTGATATTTGGTTAAAGAATGATCGTAAAGCTAAAGCTTTAATATGTCTAAACATTTCGGATTCGCAAATTATCCATGTTTTACATAGTAAATCTGCAAAAGAAGTTTGGCAGAAGTTAAAATGTGTCCATGAACGTGTAAATTTAACAAATAAGTTATTTCTTCTTAGAAAACTATATTCCATTAGATATAATGAAAGTTCTAAAATGCAGGAACATATCAAAGGAGTACTAGAATTGGCTGAAAAGCTGCGTAGTATAGGTGAAGAAATTAAAGAAAATAACTTAACAGCAATACTATGTTCTTTACCAAATTCACACAACTCCTTAATAACTGCAATAGAAAGTAAATCGGAAGCTGAATTGTCGCTAGAATATGTTAAAAACAAACTATTAGATGAGTATTGTAGACGTGTGGAAACTAAGAAAGTTCAAAAGTACGATTCAGTTGCTTTAAAAAGTAAAAGCGAAAAATAAACCAAAGTATGTTACACAATTTTGTACTTATTGTAAGAGAAATAACCATACGATAAATGACTGTTTTCATTTAAAACGCAACGCTAGAACTTCCCCGAAAACAGATGTAAATAATAGTAAAGTAAGAAATTATTCTCAAAATTATAAAAGTAATGCATGCCAAATAGCAAATACACAAAGTGTAGAAAACATAACAAAACTTAAAGAAAATAAGTATCTTAAAAGTATTGAAACTGAAAATTCACAGATTCAGTTTAATCAAGTTCTAAAAGTGGAAAATAAACATGAAAACACGCAAACGCAAGAATGGGTTATCGACTCAGGAGCCTCAACTCATATGACGAGTGATAAGAATTTTTTCTCTCAGTTAAATGACTCTAATAAACAAATAGTAACTGTAGCCAATGGTGCTAAATTAAATTCTTATGGTATTGGTGAAGGTTATTTTAAAGTTCAAAACTTAAAGGGTCAGGTTACACAAATAAAATTGGAAAATGTATTGTATGTACCAGGTTTAGATAGTAATTTACTTTCTGTTCAATCTGTTACCAATAAAGGTTGCATTGTTACATTTGATAGTAATAAGTGTGTTACATAAAGCGTAACAATATACTCGTAGCCGACGGCAACGCTCAGCAAGGTTTATATAAATTGACCGTAAACCCAATTGATGAGAAAGCATACTTAGCTAATAATGTTTCATGTTCAAATACGAACTGTATACTAAAATGGCATCAAAGATTAGGCCACAGAAATATAGATGCCATAAAAACACTTGAGAAAAATGATTTGGCAGACGGCATTAAACTTGGCAAATGCACTCATAGTGTGGAATGTTCTACTTGTGTAAAAGCGAAACTAACTGAAACACCTTATCCCAAAACTAGTTTTAGATCTAAAAATCCACTGGATTTAGTGCACACAGATGTGTGTGGGCCAATTGAAGTCAACAGCTTAGGAGGGAAAAGATATTTCGTAACTTTCATTGATGACTATTCGCGTTATACTCAAATTTATTTTATTACTTCAAAAGATGAAGTATTCGACAAACTTAAACAGTATGTTGCATCGACAACAAATAAATTTAGAAAGAAAATAAAGGTTCTCAGATCCGACAACGGTACAGAATACTGTAACGAAAGTACTGAAAATTATTTAAAGAAACTCGGCATTTTTCACCAAACTTCGGTTCCTTATTGTCCGGCACAGAACGGCGTCGCAGAAAGGAAAAATCGCTCTTTAATAGAAATGACAAAAGCTATGCTAATAAACTCTAAATTACCGAAAGGATTCTGGGCTGAAGCAGCAGCTACTGCTGCATATCTTCAAAATAGGTTACCAACTAAAGCCACAGATAGAACACCATATGAATTGTGGAATGGTAGAAAACCAAACTTAAGTCACTTACGAGTATTTGGCTGTAAAGCATTTTATTATGTGAACAAACAAAAACGGCGTAAATTCGACAACAGAGCCGAAGAAGGAATATTCGTAGGATACGATTTACGAAGTAAGGGATACAGGATTTATGTAGGTGGAAGAAAAATAATAGTAAGTAGAACTGTTAAATTTTCAGAAAACGCGTCTTTACCTGACAAACTTGCAGAAAATAATGCTGAAGATTTAGAATTAATTCACTTCAATAACTCGCAAGATGAAGAAAATAATGAAGAAACATCTCTTGGCGATGATTTTACAGAAGATTCAAAAAGTTCCGAAGAGTTAATTAAATGTGAAGAAAATGTAGAAAGAAGGGTTTCTAGCAGATCAACCAAAGGGGTCCCACCGGAAAGATTCTCTTATAAAGCAGAAGACGAAGAATCAATCTTACTTACTTAAAATTAAAGATCCAGAAAGCTTTGAAGAAATTCTAAACTTACCAAAACGTGAACAAGAAGCTTGGATCAAGGCTATGCAAGAAGAAATACATTCTCTAAAAGAAAATGAAACCTATAAACTTACAGAATTACCACCAGGAAAACATGCAGTAGGCAGCAAATGGGTGTTTAAGACAAAATATGATGAAACTGGTAAAAATATAAAATACAAAGCACGCTTAGTAGCCAAAGGATTTACTCAAAAATACGGCAGTGATTATGATGAAACTTTTTCACCAGTAGTGAAACACACTACGATAAGAGTTTTCTTAGCATGGGCAGCGTATAATAATGCCAAGGTACATCAACTAGATGTTAAAACAGCTTTTTTGTACGGCAACTTAAATGAAGAAATATATATGGAA